GTTTGTGTTTTTTTTAAAAAAAACAACAACAACTGCATGGGATTTCTGATTATAACTACAAAGGTAATTATCCAGACTCAAACTTTATGCTCAGCTGTAAAATACATGGTCACAGAATCATAGAATCGAAAGAGACTACAAGGGTCATCTAGTCCAAACGCCTGCAATGCAAGCCATAAACATTTGCTACGTCTTTGGGGTGTAGCAGGGCATAAAAGAAGTGGGCAAAGTTATATGTTCAACAGTAGAGAGGTGTAAAGTATGAGTTGATGCCCAATTTCAGAATTTGACAGAGAGCTGTGATGTGTGTGTGTGTGTGTGTGTGTGAGAGAGAGAGAGAGAGAGAGGGAGGGAGGGAGGGAGGGTGAGACAGAAGATAATCTACTTTAGTGTTTAATTCTGGGTCTGTGTGAAGGGGGGGAATCTAACATCTTTTTATATTATTATTAAATAAATATAATTAAATATTAAATCAAACCACCTATTCAATACAACGGGGCATGATTATAAAAGGCACATGTCCTGCACTCATGCATGTCAAAAGAGGACAAGCATAAACATATGAATGTGGTGCATGTTCAATTACACAGAGCATATTTAGCAATGTAAGAAACTGCATGTCAGCAAAAATGCTTAATAACACTATTCATCACACAGTAGGTCTTAAAGTTGAAATTTTCACATATGAAATAAAAGCACACATTGTACATTTTAATGCATTTTTGTCCGTTAAACGTGGAGAACATGTTTCATTGTGCACACACATGCCATGTGCATGCACATGTGGATTATTTTTTAAATGCTACCCCCCCCTTTTTCTGCGTGTTTGTTTGCATAGTGTGCTATCACATATAAAGGACACACACCCTTCTTTGACTGAGAAATTCCTTTCCGCAGACAAGTATTCTATGAATTGCAATAAACACCCTAAAAAATTCTAAGCAGCTCATTATATACCCCTGTCTGCTTTTATGGCTCCAAGCCAGAATATAATGATGAGCCGTAACTTGTTAAGGACAACTAATTTTTTGTTCCTGGCTGTCTCAGGGGCTTCTCTCTTACTCACTCTCACTTTACTTCACTGTTGACATGTTTCTGTTAACTGGATGTCATCTGCCTGCCTTGATTTTATGCACAAGCAGTGGGATGCATTTTTTCGTGCAACAATTCTGCTTTGAGTTGCATTAGATTTGTCATTATTCCCTCATTTTCCCCTTGCACTTGTAACATTTCATCTATTCCTGCCTCCCCCCCCTTTTTTCCTCCTTTTTTTGAGCCACGGTGCACCCATATTATGGTTTATACATGATCTTGCTCCCTTTGAAGCCGGCAGATTTCAGAGCCAGCCCTCGTCAGGAGAAGTGCCTGCTACCAATTTAGCAGGCTGAGGGCCCCGAGCTCCAACATCTCAATCTAAAGGGGGTCACAGAGTGGCACAAGCGAGTGTCAGCAAGTGCTGTTTAATTGCCAATCTTGGCTTCTCCATGGTGTTTAAAGTATAATGACCCATCACTTAATTCTGAGAAGTCCTGGCCCTGCTGCTGAATAGAATGAATATCAAAGGATGTGCTAGAACAGGGCAAGGAGCATACAATTCCTATAACTGCTGTAAGTATAATAGACTTGTACTTCTGTCGTCCCATTACCACAATAATGTATTTAATTTGCTGTATACCCTTTTTAACTAGATCCCTTTCATAAAGGCATATCTAAGGGATAGAACTGATCTCTCTCTTTCTCTCACTCATTCCTGCCCCTTGCAAAAAACTAAACAGATAAATAGAACAGCCTTAATAATAATTAAGATGAACTCAGATTCGTTTTTATTGCCCTTTCTCAGCTTGCCAGTCTTTTTCACAAATGTGCAATATTAGCAGAAAGGTTAGCATTAGGGAATCTGGGTTTTAATTATATTTGCGTGTGCAGAATTGGTTTGCTGCCTCGTTCTGCAACTGTATAAGAGAAGAGTTATCTGCTAGCCATGAAGTTTCCTTTAGCTTCTCCATGCCCTTTGCTTCCTCAAACCCTTCCTCCTCTGTAATCTAACCTTCACGTATTAACTGCAGGGATTGGAAAGGTCCAGGAGGGGGAGGGAGTTGAGGGGGAAATGTGGAACCTTGCTATGTAATGCATGCTAATTTAATTATGTACCATCATCAAAATGGATTAGCTGTTTCAGCCCATCAGGAAAGTCTAAACCTCCACCGATTTAATTAACTAGACTGAAAATCAGATGAACAGAGAATAAAACTATCATTAGGAGCAATTAGTGATTACTTAAACATAGTGCTGCCAAGCAGTTTGTAAATAAAACTAGCAGCCCTTGGAAAATTAGCTGGAATTAATTGGAGGTTGGGGCAGAGAGAGAGAAAATATATACTTCTAAGCCCTTTAGAGGATCAGGTGGGTCTTTTTATGTCAACTAAAAATAATTTGAGCTTGGGAATGAGAAGAAAATGCAACACCCCTCCTTCTAAGTCTGCTTGCATAATAAAAGCAGACAGACCCTGTTCTTCATAGAAAACCCTGCTTGAAATGAGAGCCATGGAGAAAGCAAAACTTGCAACAGCATAATCTCCAGGCTTCTCAATATCATAGGGTTACAATGATGCCTCCCTCTAGTTAGTTAAGAATTAAAATAAATGCAGTTCAAAAGCACTGATCTTCAAGAATGGACCTATATGACAAGGCTTTGTCACTGGGAATGATGTGAGGGTTCCCCACACCCCCCCCCAAACTAAAACAAAGATCACTGCATAACTAAATCAAGGCATTTTTTTAGCAAAGCTTCACTGCCCTATAGAGAGTGATAAACAGAAGTAGCAGATGCCCCTACTTCTGGACCTGAGTACTTTGAACTCACCTTGACATGGAAGCATTGACAGTCAAAGCGGTTGGGTAGGGATGTCGGAATCCCCCTGTTGTGATTGGATAGACTGGTTGACCTTGCCTAGAAAGATGGGGGGAGGGGAAAAGAATGAGTAAAAAACCAGGGGTATGTATTTTTGGCATTTTAAATTTCTCTCTCTCTCTTTCTCTGCACAGTAAGCTTTATTCTCATTTGATCAGAACAAAAATCTTGGGGATTGTACAGCACGGATCAAAGGAAAGAAACACAGAACAATTTGAATGCCATAAATCTGATACGAATGGCTAATTAAATTTTATAACCTCTGCTTATGTCAATAGAGACCCTCTCCCCAAGCTGAAACTAGGTGTTTTGTTGTAATAATTAAAGGCGAAGTCTTGCTTGCTTTAATGGAGCCATCACACTAATTGAGGGCTACACATCCAAAGGAAAACAATAATGAATGTAAATTTATACCAAAATAAAGTACAGTGAATCAAAGGACTTCAGTTGCGCTTTGGGCCTCTTTCGGTATTTAGATCTCGGTGAGAAAACATTAAATTAACAGAGCTTAATTTGTAGCCTTTTGTCAGATTAACAAGTGTTGACAAGAGTTACCGGGGGAGAGTCCCCAAGAAGTATTGTGGGTAACCAATAGACAATCATACCTCATTACAATAATTAAAAAATACAGCAACATGCAAAACAGCATCCTCATGAAAGCTACACAACTTTTTCTGATTGAGGTTTGTCTGTGTTGGCTGGTCCTTTTCATCTGTCTTTCAAATGTATCCACTGAATGGGTAAGTTGTTATTTGGGGTGTGAGTTTTTCTTGAAAGGTTACTCTGCTAAATATACTCACAGCCCATCTTAATACAGAGCAGAGCCCATAAATGGTTAAAATAATAAAAATACCAGGTGGACAGTCCTATCTTTTAAAGGAATTTGATGTTTATGCTCTTTGGCTCTTCAAAAAGTTGCATGGGGTACAAAAAAAGTTATCTCTCTGAAGAAAAGAGGGGGGGGGGAATGATAGTTGTACATTAAAATGTCTTTGAAATACCCAAACAGTTATTTATTATGAATTCTGTAAAATCTACTTCTGCATACAGAAGATATGTAGGTAGCCCATCAAATGACAAGACATTGTAAAAGCCCTACTACAATATAGAAACCAAAGGTATACTGGTGTTTGTTTGGATAACTGTCACAGGGAGAACAAGAGGCTAGTGATTCTATTTTCCTGCTATTATTTTCTTCCTTTGAAGTGCGAACTTTCTGTAGCATAATCAGGATGTGTTTTCTAAAACTGCAGTGTTTCCCCCCTAGGGATCACACATTTTGTCTATAAAAATAAGAAATGGGCCCATAGGACCAGGAAAATGAATACAATAGTGTACCACCTGTAAAAGGAATCACTGTTTCCAGGTGGCCACATAAAAGGCCACAGGTTCCAATTCTGCAAATATATTTGAGCTGTATATACTACAGTATAGTAGTATAGCATTAGTACTAGATTGATATTTTTTCAGTGCAAACAAGCTTTCTCCCATTTCAAAACCAAAAGGTTGCAGGGACATAGGGAACCTGCTATTTAGAATGGGTTACATAATAAAGGAAATGATTTGAAGCTAAAATTAGATTAATAAAGGCAAACAGAAGGAAAGGAGGGGACAACACCACAAATCAGGGGGGAAATAAGAGAGAGATAGAGAGAGAGAGAGAGAGAGAGAGAGAGAGAGAGTCTGGTTCAAGTTAATACTCAAAATCATCAATGTACTTTTTTGCATCTAATGCATTTCGACTAATTGTCATATTCAGACTCATGTAAATCACACAATCTTATTACACTGGCTTATTACAACTATTAATTTAGAGCACGTTGCAATCAATTGTTTCAACTAGTGCAGTGGGAACAGGATTGTGCAAGATTTGCTTGTCCCTGAAGAAGACAAGTAGTCAAAATGTTTGAGGCAAATCACATTTTTTTAAAGCATTGTTTTAAGTTTTTGCCTCTTTTAATTTGAATTTTCAGATTAGTAAGACCATTACTGCACCTATTCATTAGACATTGCAAAAATACTGCCTACACATTAGAACTCTTCTTCCCTCTTGTTGTTATTACACATTTTGAAATTAGGTTCTCCCCATGAGCTCCCTCCTGCAGTCGGTAGAGCCTGAGACTCTTAATCTCAGGATTGTGGGTTTGAGCCCCATGTTGGGCAAAAGATTCCTGCATTGCAGCGGGTGGGGCTAGATGACCCTCATGGTTCCTTCCAACTCCACAATTCTATGATCCTATGATTCACTTAGCTCCCTCCCAATTTTTAAGCCATGTTCCAGCCCATTAAAAAATATTATCCCAAACCTTGGAAACAAGAATTAAAGGGGAATGCAAATGTAATGCAATCACACAAAACGCAATAGTAGTGCACTATAAAAATAATAGGGTATCAGCAAGGGATGTTTCTGAAACAGCAATCCTACAAATTATACGTTTTTACCCCACCCTTTCAGAACAAATGTTTGACATTTATGATCCATGGGTCATCCTCTGATGTCATGACACATGAGATGATGCCCTCATGCTCTGTTCTTATTTAACACGCAATGACCCGTCACTTTAGTTCATTTAATCTTTATTGAGCAAAAGTTATTGATTTGCCCATGCCATAAACTGGCAGCTGGCAAGCATGCTTAACTCAACATAGGCATTTCAGGCAAAGCAAATAAGCACAATTATCCTCCACCCCCCGCACTCCCCCCCCACATATGTATAAAAATGAAAAATAAAAAATAAAATGAAAAAAATGGAACTCCTTACTGTGGTACTAACCATCCTAGCGGATGGGGGATTTGCCCTACAGTGCCCGGTGATAGTGGATAATAAGGAGATATATCTGGAGGGTGCGGAGGCCGTGGAATTCCTAGGGAAGAGGAAAAGGAAGCATCATGAAAGTGGGTCAGGGCAGGGGGAAACGGGGGATTAAAAAAGAAAAGAAAAAGGAGGCAGGAAAGTCATACAAATTTCTACACCATGAGTACCACACTTTCTGCCTTTCATAACTCTACTTCCTATTCTCAAGACATGGCCTGCTGCCTTCACCTATCGTCCCCAGAGCATCCTACTTAGTACAGTAAGCAAATGAGACTCAGCTAGAGAAGTAGGACATTTGATCTGTTTTCTTCCCCACAGTCAAAGACCGTGCAGGACTTTGTTCTCCCAAAGTCTTAAAAGGATGGAGGCTCCCACCTTGCTTTCATTTTGTACCATCATGTGTGTCGCCTCTTTTGTGCAGACACCTTCAGGTCACTCAAAAAGGTACTTTCTAAAATAAACCATTTTATATGGCTGCAGTGCCTTTCTGTTTCCAGAAGGTTCCTGTTACGAGTTTATATAAGCCACATTTGTTCTAATTTTGATTTGGATTAGTGTTTCCACATGAAACATTAAAACCTTGATGGTAAAGGGAAGTTTGGGGGCAGGGGGCGGGGATGGAGTGCTGAGAAAATGAAACAAAACAATGAACTTATATCTGAGGAGTTGGGGGGGAAGTAGTCATCCATTTAATTAATGTATATTATTAGCCCTTAGCTATTTTAATTACTCTTTTCCTATGGATCACATTCTGTTTCTGTACAAAGCAGTAAAGTTTGTCACTGTTCCAAAATACATTTAGAGACTAGAATGGCAAATTTAACTTCATTAATGACTAAGAAAAGATACTAAATCTAGAAACAAATCCTTGGATTAACAAAGAACACTACATTTTCCAAGCACAAGTAACCATATTGTATTGTACATACAAGAGAAATATGTATGAAAGGTTACATTAATCCACATTATTCTAGGTAGAAAAGGCATCCTCAGTTGCAAAGGTTTGGGCATACACAGTGCTTCTGATTTCATTTAAGTGCTCAATGGTGGTCCATAGGGTTGTATGCTCCCTCCACTTATGCATGCAAATCCTCCCTTGATAGCCATAAGCATAGTTAAAGATTACGGTATGTTCTAAACTAAAGCTATCATGAAAGGAACCTAGTTAGTTTTAGCTCTGGTTAGAATCAGTGCACACTAATCCTTAACCATGGTTAAAGCCAAAGGAAGTAGGGGATTGAATTGTGAGAGAGAAGCTAGGAAGTGAGTGATTCTTAAGCCCTTTTAGCCATCGGGAGCACTGGGTCTCCACCCAAGTGATGGTTGAAATCAGTGCTTTTTCTGGGGGACACATACCCCTAAACTTTTTGTGAATCTAAGCTTGGCTTCATTGAGGGGCAGTGTTTCAATATGAGTAGGAAAATGAGAGTACCCCTAAACATTTTTTTTAGGAAAAAAAGCACTGGTTGTAATATTTACAGCTATATGTGATAACTGTCCAAATCATGAGTGGTTTGGATTGTTTTGGTGTGGATGCAGAAGAACCGGTTTCAAATGCCTCCCAGCCATAAACAAACTCAAGTTTCACACTGAGTGTATACTCAAGAGGGAGCTTCAGCAAATCTTGACTCTTGATGATAATATGTGCATAATCATCTATCTTTTCCAGATAAAATGAGTGTAAAGGATGAGATCCTTGAAACACTTTGTTTGGAACTATCCCGAGAGTTCTGCAAGACTGCCCAGGAATAAATAGATCATAATTTGCAGTGCTTGCATGTTCAAACTTTCTCAGGTGAGTAAAAGTTACATGGTTGGGTACCTCAAGAGAACCCAGCTCTTCAAAATATAGCAAATGTAGAATTAAGAACAGAACCATTAAAATGAAGAGGCACTGTATTCACAGCTAAAAAACGATTTTTTAAAAAGACACTCAGGGAGCTTTTAATCTCTAAATTAAATCTTCCTGTGTGACATTTTCGGGCAGACACAGCTTTTTCTCCATTACAAAATCCAAACAGATTAACTGGGCTTTAACCATACAGTGAGCTGTTTGCACACTTGAAAGAATGTTCGCAGAAGAAAAGTAAACAGTCTATGGACGTTAATCATATGTTTTACGATAACCATTTAGAAAGCATTCCCTGTACTACCATTATTTAAATGGGTGTCAGACTAAGCTGCCATGCACTTGCAATACAGAGATGGCTGGATGAAGATCCTTTTAAACCTATGCAATATTAGCATTAAACACAATCCAAAGGAAGCCCAATTGTGGCATATGGGAATAAAAGAAACATTGATTCATTCATTCATAGACTGAGTTTGGATGCATTATCTAAATATGTTAATCACAACTACAGCAATTCTTTGACAAGCTCTAACATGTATTCACGGTTTCAAATTTACTTTTTAATTAACTTGCAAGGATTTGGACTAACTGAAAAAAATGCCCTCTGAGGACTCTATGCAGTCTACAGAACAAAGACTGACACTATTACATCCTCTAGGGCAACAGGCTAACAAGATATATATTTTTAGTTAACAAAATAACTAAAATCTAGTCTTTAACACTAATAAATCTAAGAAGGGTTGAGAGAGTGCCATGTGTCCACAATAATCAATTTGGACTGGAGTAAAATTTACCAGACTGTAGCAGTGGGATTAAAAATTACAAGAGAGCATTTGATCCTGTGACATTGGCAGCCAAAAAGATAACTTAACAAGATTATGCTTTTTTTCATTGGCTAAAATCAGCAAGCCACATATATAACTTGATGAAGTCAACAGAATGGCCTCAAGAATGTGGTTTTATAACTACACATAGGATTTAGATTTCATTTTTTAAAAAACAGAATTGTTAAAAGCTAAGGTAAAAAACTGATTTTATCCAGGAAAAGAGCTAAAAAAGTATTATAGAACCTTTAAATACTATAATATAAAAAGTAGTAGGAAATGACTCTGAAATTAAGAAGTATTCAAAAAGCAGGGCAATCTCCATTTATCCTCTTTTTAGGAAATGTTCTTTATCATACATCTAAAGTAATTTATGATATAAACCTTTAGTCAAAATAGCACCTCCAACATCAGTTATTTGGAACAGTGAATGCCTGTATAGCATTACAGACTGCTGCACTATTAGAATTTAACAATGGGGACAACTTGTCATTTCAGTTTCTAGATTTTTATCAACGTATTCCATCATACGCATAGATGTTAGAAATTGAACACACTGTTGTTATTAAAATGCGATTGAGGGCCTAAATGACAGGAGACAGCATCCTGAGATCAATTACACAGTCAATATGTTCATTTTATTTATTTTTGGGTAATCTGCAGACAATTAGCTTTAATATACTTACTCCTAAGTGAATATTTTGTGTGTCCCCCCACCCCCAAAATGATCTAACTCTATGATATTTCAGGAAGCTTCCTCCCCGCAAAGCCTAGCTCCTCATCAAACATTGTTCACCCTACCTGTTTTCGGATCTACGTCGGCTTGTAAGTGTGGAGGAGGATTCCCTGGTGTGAAGTGCTCATTGCTGTACGTAATAAGCGGCGTGAGAGGATGTACATGGTGTGGGTGCTGCACAACTGGGACTTTGTTAGACTGTGAAAAAAGAAAATGGAGAGTGTGAGGAAAATGCTGTGTTAAGAAAGCTACATAGCGCAAACATTAAGAAAGCAGTTTAGAAACACATACTCTGCTATAAAACTAGGCGTAAGACATTTGTACACAGTAAGAGTGTCATCAAAATAGCCTCAGTCCCCCACCCCCCACATTTTCACACAAGCTTATTAGTTCCTGCTTTTCCTAATGATCTGGTTCTCAAACTGTTTGCTAAAGATGTCGGTCAAGATAAGCTCATTGTTATTAAGGACCACCCTTTGGCTTGCAAAAGCCTGACCTGTAAAATGAAACTTCTTTAATCCCATGCACTGTATTGTCCCAGCACCCATTCCTGGTGACCTTGTAACCCATCTGTATGGTTTTCGGGACCTACAGACAGGCCACCCACCGATTGGAGGGGGGGCTGCCCTTATGGCACAGAAAGTAGTATATTGTGTTTGTTTGTTTTACTGTGCTTAGACAAAGGCGGGATGCATTGTGGTCTTGTAAGGGGCTTTAGCATCCTGAAATAAGGAAGCCTAAGGGAGCAATTGATTGTTGATTGTTATCGGGTATAGGAGTTAAAAGGATCACTTTCACCAATATGTACCTGCTAATAATGCAACGTTCAAACTGCTGAGACACAGCTCTCACCCACAGTCAGATGTGTGCATGCTGCAGAGTTCATTCCAGGACACACAGATCTAGCCAAAAGTGAGACCCATGTGTCGGCAGTT